ATAATTTTCTTAAATCTGTTTAAAATGAAGAATTGTGTGTTAATTTTTCTTAATAAAATACTGTGTATGATAAAATTAAAATGAAAAATAGATTATGAAAATATTCGAGTAGTATACTGTATTATGTCATGAATGTTAATTTTATGGTAAAAATTAACTTGTTGAAATTATGATTTCATTATTAGAGCAGTTGATAGGGAATTAAATTTTTTAATGAAAGGGAGGTCTAATTACAGAATATTGATCTTAATGATACAGATTTATTTTTGTTGTTATATACAATGGAACATGTATTAACAGACACTTCTGAATAGTGGACGTCTCTACTTAATGGACATTTTTACGATCCTCGAACTCTTCAAATAGGACATTATAATATTTACTTTTAAATAGTGGACACTCTAAATAACAGACAGTATCATCCATGACTTACCTTACAAAAACACAAAGTCCTGTCTTCAATATTTTGAAAGAATTAATTACAGTGATACCTTGTTTTTCGTTGATAATCTATCTGAAAACAATCGATGAAAATTGAGGCAATTACTTTCATATGAATCAATGTAAATCCAATTAATTTGTTCTAGATACTCCAAAATATTGGTTTGTTTGGAAAGTTCATAGTGATTTTTAAGAGAAATAAAAGAAACTGTTTTAATTAAAACTAAAAATATACTTTTATTCCATTACGTATGCACCATTGTTTTTAATGGCATGTTGCCATCTATGGGGGAGCTTATGATACCCTCTTTGTAGAACTTTCCAGTTTTTCCCATGAAAAACTGATCCACGTGGTTTTTGCAAGCTTCCAAAGTATCAAATTTTTATCATAAAGGGAATTTTGCAGAGAACAGAACAAATGGTAATCTGACAGGACAAGGTTGTGTGATATGGGGGGTGAGCTAAAACATCCCAGCCTAGTTCCATTAATTTTTGGTGTGTTCATAAAGACGTGTGGTCTGGCATTATCTTGGTGAAACACAATGCCTTTTCTATTGGCCAGTTCCAGATGTTTTTCTTTAATTGCCATGTTCAGTTTATCCAATTGGGAACATTACTTATCAGAATCAATTGTTTGATTCTGTGGAAGCATTTCATAATACAGGATTCCTTTCCAATCCCACCGGATGGTGAGCATGATCTTCTTTGGATGAAGATCGGCCTTTGGAGTTTTTAATGGTGGTTCATTTTTCTTATCCCATGATAGTTTTCAGCTGATGTTGTTATTAAGATCCACTTTTTATTACCTGTCACTAAATACTTCAGAAAAGGGTCGTTTTCATTTCATCTTTCAAGAGAATCACAAATGGAGATGCAATTCAGTAAGTTCTTTTCTGTTAAGTTATGAGGTATTCAAATGTCATAACAATTCATGTATCCAAGCTTCTTTAGATGTTGAAATACAGTACTGTTTGATGATTTCACTGTGTCTGCAATCTCTTGAGTTGTGTAATGAGGGTTTTCATCCAATAATGCTTTGATCTGGGAGGTCTTCCTGAGTAGGGAGCATCTTTAAGGCTGAAATTACTCACTATAAATTTTGCAAACCACTTTCAAACAGTTGATTCTGCTATAGCTCTCCCACCATAAATATCACATATATATTTTGCTGTTTATACAACACTAGCTTACCCATCATGCATTGCTGCGATCTCAGAAGAAAGGAAATTCAAGCAAATTTGTTATGATAAAATTCAATTTACATTTTATCANGTGAAACACAATGCCTTTTCTATTGGCCAGTTCCAGATGTTTTTCTTTAATTGCCATGTTCAGTTTATCCAATTGGGAACATTACTTATCAGAATCAATTGTTTGATTCTGTGGAAGCATTTCATAATACAGGATTCCTTTCCAATCCCACCGGATGGTGAGCATGATCTTCTTTGGATGAAGATCGGCCTTTGGAGTTTTTAATGGTGGTTCATTTTTCTTATCCCATGATAGTTTTCAGCTGATGTTGTTATTAACGATCCACTTTTTATTACCTGTCACTAAATACTTCAGAAAAGGGTCGTTTTCATTTCATCTTTCAAGAGAATCACAAATGGAGATGCAATTCAGTAAGTTCTTTTCTGTTAAGTTATGAGGTATTCAAATGTCATAACAATTCATGTATCCAAGCTTCTTTAGATGTTGAAATACAGTACTGTTTGATGATTTCACTATGTCTGCAATCTCTTGAGTTGTATAATGAGGGTTTTCATCCAATAATGCTTTGATCTGGGAGGTCTTCCTGAGTGGGGAGCATCTTTAAGGCTGAAATTACTCACTATAAATTTTGCAAACCACTTTCAAACAGTTGATTCTGCTATAGCTCTCCCACCATAAATATCACATATATATTTTGCTGTTTATACAACACTAGCTTACCCATCATGCATTGCTGCAATCTCAGAAGAAAGGAAATTCAAGCAAATTTGTTATGATAAAATTCAATTTACATTTTATCATTTTTATTGAAACTTATTATTATTATTCATTTTCATTGGGAAAACATTTCAAAGTGTTGTTTCAATTCTATTTATTTATTGGAGTGCTTGTGGATACACAATATTTTTTGTTTTTCTGTCTGGTGTGTACACAAATAAATCAGAAGGTTTTTTGACGCGTGAGCTGACCACATACAATTGTACATGTGAGAAGCACGGATTCTTTAAATTTAGCCCACATAGATTGTTAGAAGTGTGATAGTCCCTATTTTTATATATTTTTTTTAATCCTTTATAATTTTGATTATTTAATTGCTCCTTCCTCTCTTCCTTGGCATGTTGTGAAATTTCTGATAGTTGGATAATAAACCGTTTTATTGTAATTTGTCTTTTTAAATTAGTTTGAGTTGATATTAAAATTTGGAAAAGAGGGGATCCCTAGATCGGTAAAATAGTCAAATTTCCTTCTACAACTTCGGTTGTTCAGGATACAGTTAAGGTTTTAACAAAGTTCAAGCAAATACATAATTAGCAAAAAATAGTTGAAATAAAGTGATTAAACAAAAATTATTACAAATATCGTAAATAACAAATGCATATATAGAGATATTTTTTGGAGGGGAAATGGTCTTCACAATTTGAAATTGATTGAACACACAGTAAAATGCTCGTATACATGAGCGCCATCTATCGTAGGATAAATAACTACTCACTTTAAGAAGCTGTTTCTCAAAGTGAGTAATTCTTTTCTATTGCTGGTTCTTTGGTTTTGTGAAGTAGTGGATCTCGTACTTTTGACATTTCAAATGTTATCTTTAAGTTGAGCATATACCATTTGAATTACAGTTTTTAAAAAAAGTGCATTAACATGATTTAAATGGCACATTTGGAATCTGTTAATGTACTTTCTTAAAAACTGTAATTTGAATGGCATATGCTCAACCTGAAGATGACATTTTGAAATGGCAAAAGTACTTGTTTGTATACTAAATACTTAGATTGGACATCATACCAACAGTTGTATGAACTCAATTAAAAACTTCAGATAAGGAGGTGTTAAAGAAATTAAAAGAAATGTTTTATTTATGATTTAAATATTTTTATATTTATATCTTAATGTAACGTGCACTTATGGTGCTATTTCAATCGGCTTTTACATTTATGTATGTTAAGATGCATACGCATCAATTTTACATGTTTGCAAAAATTTATAATTTAAAATTTACTTATTCTTAAAATTTGTTCCAAAACGGCTAATGACGTTACTGTTTAAATTTAAATATTCCGTTTGAAATCTCTTTCTTATTCAAACTGCCTGAGTACAATGTGCATAATTACATCAAAAGCACTTGCAGAAATAAAATATTTCTTTTAGTTTCTTTAACACCTCCTTATCTGAAGTTTTTAATTGAGTTAATACAGTGGTACCTCAGGATACGAAATTAATCCGTTCCGAAACTGAGATCGTATCATGAAAATGTCGTAAGGTGGATCATCTTTTCCCATACTATTACATGTAAAACCAAATAATTCGTTCCAACGCGAAAAACATACTCAAATTAAAGCTAAGTAATACATTTAAAAAAATAACTGTAGTAAGAAAAACAAATGAAAAATGCGAACTAATGTAACGTCGTATGGTGAGTTTTTGTTCGTATCGTGGAGCAAAAATATGTTCGAATTTCATGTCGTATCCTGAAAATTTTGTATGCTGGGGCGTTCGTAACCTGAGGTACCACTGTACTTGTTTATAATTAAAATCTTTGCAAGTGATTAACTTTAATGCCAAAAGACAGTTTGGTTTAAACATAATTTATAACAAAAATGTTTACATTTTTGTTGAATTTGTTCAATTAAATTTAATATGCAAATATTAAATTTAATTCAACGTTTAATACAGAAATCTATAAAATTTTGTTTTGTAACAAAACAATTACTCAACATTATTGTTCATTTCTAATTTTGTTAGTGTCTTGAGAATTGAAATTAAGGTGCATGAATGTATTAGCATGTAACTTATAAAAGTTACAAAAAAATTACTCCTACATTAATATTTTCAGAATCTTTAATGCTAATCTCACCTGTCTTTAATGAAATTAGAACAGAATGATCTCAAGTAATTACTCTAACTTTTATAGACTTCTGTATTAAATGTTGAATTAAATTTAAAGTAGAAAAAACAAAATAACAAAAATTTATCTTATCAGAAATACTTGGAAATTAAAAATATTTAATTACATTTAAAATTAAGTGAAGAAATAACATTTTATTCAAAAGAATAACTTTTTTAATTACAAATTTCGGTTTGTTTGTTTTTCTGTATGGAATTTGCAGTAATTTTTATTATAGAATTATCTGTGCATGCAAGTGTATTGTATATACACAAACGATCTCACAAACTCATATCTTTATATATATTGAAAAATATGGTAATCTTAAATAATCTTAAAAAGTTGTAATTTGGTGTTGATTCCAATACTACAGTAATGTATATTGCAGTAAGCATTATTTAATTGGATTATTATTTTTTTTAAAGCTTATCTCTTTACTAATTTTTTTGTTTTGTAGTGCGTTCATTTGGAACAGAAGATAGACCGACAGATCGTCCAGTTGCTCCTAGAGATGAAGTTTATGAATACATAATATTTCGAGCTAGTGATATAAAAGATTTGCATGTTTGTGAACCTCCAAAACCTCAACCTACATTAACAGGTGGTTTACCAAATGATCCAGCTATTGTGCAGGTATATTGATATTACTTTTATTTATTAATCGACTAAACATTTGTATTTAAATCTATCGCTGTGTGAGATCAGCCAGGACGTAGATCTTAGTCTACGACACTTACGGCGATCGAGAGATCGGCTCTCGTAACGTTTTATAGGAGGGCGGTAATTTTAAGGAAAGGGGATTCAAGACTGTGAGGTCTTTATCCCAAATTGTCAGGGTCCCGACACCAGTTAATCAATCTTATTATACACGGATTAACACGCATTTGCGATCTGATTCGGAATCAATTTAAGAGACATTTAAGTATATTTAACAAGAGTAAATTTAATAATTCTAAAACAAAACGAATACAAATAATTGATGAACAACAATTAAGCGACAAGCTAGAGGCTAAGACTTATTCTATGCTAATGCGCGATCGAGAGAGAGAGCTCACAAAATTATTCTAAACATACAACCTGTTTAGTTGTCGTCGTCTTCTTCCCTGTAGGTAAGGGACACCTTGTAGATAGTGTTCATATTACTTTCGTACCGGAGATCAATACGTGCACAAAATATAAAAGTATCACTTCTACGTGTAGACTTGGGACTTAGTCTATGGGACTCCGTTAAGGGCGTTGGTCATCAGGAGGAAAACTGCATGGAGTTTTGACGCTTCGGATCTGTCGAAGAACTCCTCGAATTCGGACTACATTCCCTTATATCTCCTGAATTCCAACCAATCATCGTCCAGTAACTCTTTCGTGAGAACGGACGAAAGGGGAATCGAAGAGGGGTAACCATTTCCCATCTGAGCGAGATTTTCAACCAGATAAGGGAAAGTCAGAGGATGTTCTCTTCTGTGAAAGGAAGTAGCATCTGTTATCTGGGTTTTTCCCACGTCCAAAACACAGAGTTTTCACAAAAACGAAGTAATATTTTGTGTCGATATTTTACCATTATTANACTCGAATATTTGTAGTCTTGGGAAAAAAGTGGAAAGACAAATTTTTACGACAACGGATACATAAATCGTAAATTTAAGGAAAATAAATTCTAGAGCTTTTTGTGTACTTTTTGCATCTCTCTCATTCATTAAATATAGTTGTAAATGATGCTACCAAAGTAACAGTTAATTTTTTAACATTGTACAAGAATGGTAGTCGTTTTTTTCTACATTCCCTTATAGATGGGATATACGAAATCGTAATATCACTGGTTTAACATTGAAATCCGTAAGTAATATAAGATGGGAGAGCAGAATAAAAATATCAAATATTTTAATAGAGTTTAACTCCTGTCAACTATACAGAACTAACATAAAAAAATGCCAGTAAATTTCTATTGGTTGGGTTAAGTTATAAATATACTTGCGATTCACATATTCGGGCAAGGGCGGTCAAATATCTAGCGGGCAGGCGGTCCGGAATAGAATCATTGGAAGCGTTTATGTGTGTAGCTTCCATCAGCTAAACCACGTGAGGCTGGTGCTCTGTAAAGCGCATGCGCGAGTGCATATATACTGGCTGTTTGGAAGTTGACCCAGTTTCGACAATACAGCGCTTCCATTTCGCCTCTGATATTCGAATATACAATAGCAATCTTATCGTTTTTTTCACGTGTAGTATAGAAATTTGTAATAAGATACATAATACGGCTATAATAAAATATTAATTTTAATCAATTCAAAGTACATTGAAGTATGAAAAAAATCGCGCAATTTATATTTTAGAAAATACAGAGGTACCTCAGAATACGAAATTAATCCGTTCCGAAACTGAGATCGTATCATGAAAATGTCATACGGTGAATCATTTTTCTTCATACGATTACATGTAAAACCAAATAATTCGTTCCAACACGAAAAACACACTCAAATTAAAGCTAAGTAGTACAATAAAAAAATAACTATAGTAAGGAAAACACCGGAAAATGCATTTTGCAGTTGTAAATGTATAAATAACCATAATAGAATAATAACTGATTTTAAAAAAATGTAGTTTTATTTGCACTTTACCTTTGAAGATAAACGATGGTGGAGGTGTACACTGGTGGCGGAAAAGAGGGAGAAGGTAAATGATACTAAAACAACATAATTACATAACATAATATAACAATAACAATTAACAGAAAAGTTAAAAAAAATTAGTGTTTATATATATTTTTTATTTTTTATTCACTGCTTTTTGCTTTCTTTCCTTCACTTCCACCAGCACTTTCACTGCATAGAGGTTGCTTGGTAAAATATCTATCCAAAGAAGTTTGGCTTTGCCTACTTTTTAAAATGTTTCTAAAATGACTTAAGCAAATGTCATTACTCTGAGCAGCAATACGGCCAATGTAAACCTTTTTGGGATGTTTCTTTTCAATAAAATAAGTCACTTTCTGATAATATCTCAAGATTTCCTTTATCGAGCGAGATCCTTCCACGACGAAGCAAACACGTGGACTGAGACCAACGAACAGAAGTGAATAGAAAATGGCGCTGCAAACTAATGTAATGTCATATGGTGAGTTTTTGTTCATATCGTGGAGCAAAAATATGTTCGAATTTTATGTCATATCCTGAAAATTTCGTATGTTGGGGCGTTTGTAACCTGAGGTACCACTGTATATATAAACACATAAAAATAGTTATATATTAAGTTGTCTTTTTACATTTCATTAATTATGGGTTGGATTATAATATAGATTGATCCAGAAATACTTCATAAATTAAATGTGGAAATAAACTAAATATATTTTTCAATTTCTGATGTAAACAACCACATTTCTTCTGAATGACAGACTGAGCAGACGAGAATATCATTCAGTATATTTTATTATCATTCTTAATGTATACACATTTTAGACTTTAGCCCCTCTTTACTACATGCTTTACTTAACACTTTTAGTAAACTTTTTTATACTGTATTTTAATAAATTGACCAGCATGCTGCATAAAATGGGGGGGAACAGCATTCTGGTTAAACTACAACTAAAATATGAAATTAATCGGATCTAACAAAAATAGTTGTTAATTTAACATTAAAGAAATTTTTCTGAGTACAATAAAATAATAACATTGTAATTTGACTGACTTAAAATCAAGAAAAGTTTTCATTTACAATAGAATAAAACAATTAACAACTTAGTAGTAGCAGTAGTAGTTAGTGTGGGCTACACTGACCATCTACCTCTACCCTGACTTTAAAAATAACATCTTCCTCTCAAATTTCACACAAAGTTGATGTTAATGGATGTCAGCTGAGATAATTGACAGCAAGTTCCTTAAATTCAATATGTTTATTTTTGAGTTTTTGAATCAAATAATAATAAAATACATGTAAAAAAAGCACTTTTGGAATTCCATAAGTATTTTATGTTGTTGGAACGAAGACAAAATGAAGAAATTAAACAAGTAATTTTAGTTTTTTATGTAATGCTAACAGTTTCACAGTTTTAGAATAAAAATGTGTTCATTTTTACTTGACAGAACTGGTTTTTTTTTTTAACCCACACTCTAGAGACGGGTGTATCACAGTGGCGCACGCCACGACATTTGGTGATAGGGAAGCTGTTTCTGTAGGAAGCCGACATCCAGGGGCAATCAGTCAATTGTATGTCAGTGATGGCCTAGGGTCCATTCATATCGTTTATTTGATAAGCCAGTAAAAACCGCAGGCTTCTCTACAAATGTAATTGTGATATTAAAAATGCACAATTAAAATTGTGCATTTTTAATATCACAATTACATTTTGAATTGCTAGCCACGATATAAGGGCTACAATTAAAAATAAAATAATAAAAACTTACTTGGTGAAATAAAATGTGTGGTGGATGTACCGGTACATACCTGGTACAAAATATTCTTTAATTGTGTGAATATACTTTTAAAGAAAATTATAATTAAATATAACTCTGTAAAGAAACATACATAAAAATAACAAAATATTTTTTACTTTTTAAATCTTAAAACAATGCACTTAGTCAAATAGCTCCCTATGAGTGGCTAATGTATGGAATCGAAGACGGTTGTAGAGCATGCATACACGCGGACTGCCAAATCCCCAGGGTGCCGATACTGGTCAATGTCAAATTCCTCTTTTGTTGCATCACTAGTATATCTGAAAGGATGTGACAGAGCTGTTGTAGATTTTAAACGTTTCTCACCATAGCTGTAAAAATCTAAATATGTTAAACTTAATAGTCATTTGTGTTTTAACTAATTCATTTTAGGACCAAGTGTCCTCAGAAATTTCCAAAATTTACAACTTTTTGGTCACTCTCATTGAACTGGAAAAATTTCTGTCTTTATTACATTAATAATACGACGAAATCAGTCTCCACTGTACTTGGCTAGAGATGGTTCGGTTAAGCTTTTGTTTAAGTAAAATTTCGGCTTTTTCATCAGGGTTTTATTTGTATCCCCAATTCCATAATCGCTTAATTATTTAACTACTTCTTAAGTAGAAATAAGTTGAAACTGGTTACTTTGTACTTGAATATTTGTAGTCTTGGGAAAAAAGTGGAAAAAGAAATTATTATGACAACGGATACATAAATAGTAAATTTAAGGAAAATAAATTCTAGAGCTTTTTCTGTACATCGTGCATCTCTCTCATTCATTAAATTTAGTTGTAAATGATGCTGTCAAAGTAACAGTTAATTTTTTAACATTGTACAAGAATTGTACACGTTTTTTTCTACATCCCCTTAGAGATGGGACATACAAAATCGTAATATCACTGGCTTAACATTGAAATTCATGAGTAATATAAAATCAGAGAACAGAATAAAAATATCAAATATTTTAATGGATTTTTTTTAAACTCCTGTCAACTATACAGAACTATCATAAAAACATACCAGTAAATTCCTAGCGGTTGTGTTCTAAATCTACTTGTGATTCACATAATCGGACGATGGTGGCCAAATATCTAGCGGGCAGGTGGCTAACAGCCCAGAACCGGTCCTGGATAGAATTGGATGCGGTATACGTGTAGCATCCACCCAAGGTCCTAGGCTTCCACCAGCTAAACTGGCTGAGGTTGGTGCTCTGTAAAGTGCATACGCGAATCTGGCTTTTTGGATGCTGACAATACAGCGCTTCCACTCCGCCACTAATATTCGAATATACAATAGTAGTATAGAAATTTGTAATAAGTAACATAATGCGGTTATAATAAAATATTGTGCGATTATTTTCATATAATTAAAATTAATATGTATTTATTTTTTTAGAAAATGCAAGGGAAGTGGTGCATCCACTGCTTCCAATGATGGCATGCCTGCATTCCCCAAAATAAACCAGTATGTCTGCTTTTATCATATGGAAATATCTGATTTCATGGTCTCTCCCAGATAGACTGGTATGCTGTTCATTTTGCAAAAATATGGTATATAAAAAAATTATTAAATATGTTATGCAATTGGAAATGCATATCATATTTACAAGGTAGTCTGTTTGGGCTAGAATGCAAACCATTGTTGAAAATGGCACCCTAATATGGCAATTGTGAATGAAATCATTAACTTGTTCAATGACAATGTAACGGCTTACTTTAAGAACATCCAGAAAAATCGGCAACATCAGACTGCATTGGAAAGATTCCTTTCTGTAGAAAAATGATAAGTGATCCAAAACACTAACAAGTAGTGCTAAGAGGCAAAATAGAGAGAGAGAGAACATCAGAAGTACAGTTATATAGTATATTTATGAAAAGTGACTTTCCTTCCAGTAATGCTTCTCTTCCTCTCCACCAGCAAATGTTATGTCACCACTCCTCATTAATGTACAGTAAATGCAATATTCATTGTATTATACAGTACGTATATTATTTGTTATTTTCAAGTTTATTATTAGAGCATGTAATTGTCTTATTACTTTCCCTGTGTTATATATATAACAGCCAGGAAAGTATAGCAATGGTCGAAAAATGACCCCCCAAGATTTATACATTTTTGGACTCAGGACACCTTGAAATGTAAACAAATGCAAAAACTTTGAAGGTTTTTTCCTGTGTTTGTGGAGGGGGCACAATTTTGTTCACCCTCTTTAAAGCTTAGTAATTCCTGTGTTTTTTGGCAAAAATTTCTGAAATTTTGTGGGGAGATTGTTTATGAAGGAGATTGATGCTATTAAATTTTGGTGGTTAAAGATCTACAGGGTGGGAAGATAATGGAGGTTGTGTGTATCTCTAGTAGGGTCAGACTTAATGACGATTTTACTCTTTATTAGCATTTACAATTTTTTATAAAACCTATCCCTATTCTCAAAATTAAGTTTTTTGCCATTTTTATAATAGTTAAAAATATAAAAAGTTTATTAATTAATAGAATATGATAACAGTGTTGCCAGGAAAGTTGAGCAACTTGTTGCTGGATTTTATTACATAAAACTGCAAATACACATTATTTAAAGTTTATGAAAATGAGTATTGTTTAGGATCAGGAAGTGAATGAATTCACTTCCCATTATTTATTATGGGAAAAATTTCTTTGGAGTTTGAATGACCTCCTGGAATGAATTAAGTTCAAAGTACTAGGCATCACTGTATTAAAAATGTATAATATTTGACTTTACTACTGGAGTTTGGGTGTATTTATTATATAAGTTTAAATATTAAAAATAATATGATTAAACTTTTATTGATGAAACTTACATTAAATTATGGTGGATGATTATATTGCATCTTTTGAAAGTATCTTAAAAATTACTGCATTATTTTAAGGGCATATAAGACACTCCCATTTCATCACAATATTTAGTAGTAGTATAAATGTAGTATACAGTAGTAGAATATAAGTACACTGATGGCCAAGTAAAATGCAACACCTGCAATATCTAGAGGCCTACATGGTGTTGCAGTATATTTAGTGTATTTAAACCATCCTGTTCCTTTGGCACTTGGATCCTATTTTTTAAAACTTATTCTGGTTTAAAAAAAACAAAATTAATATTAGAATGCACACTTTTATTTATTGGGAAAAAGAGTAGCTGAAAAAAGATCCTTTACATTTACAAATTAGACATTAAAGTGAGTTAGTAGTGATCCTCTCGTGGCACACTGGTTGAAAATCAGAAGCATATGTAGATCTTGAATATGCGTCAAATTAGAGAAAAGGTAGAATAATGACAGTGAGATTGATGTAGATCAGGTCACCAAACTACGGCCTGCCGCTGCACAAATGAACTAAAATATAAGTATTTATATGGAAATATCATAGATAGTAGAAGAACTTACTATGTAGAAAAAATTAAAATAAGTGTAAGTAAAAATGCCAAAATTGGTCCAATCTGATTTTTGCATTTGACCATAATATAATTTTTAGGAAAATCAGTGAGATGAAAAATTCTGTGATTTTTTTTTTTTTTTTTTTTACTTTGGATATCAGAGCGCTTTTTGTGTAAGTACCTTCAATGAAGTTTCTAAGAGAAGCAATTAAGAGCTTGCTGTAGCGATTGTGTTTGTGTATTGGTAAATAAATATATTTTCTTTATTTTTTATGTATACTATATTGAACAAAATAGTTATGCGGCCCACGCTCGTCATTCTCTTAGTTATCTGGCCTGCTGTGAAAAAAGTTTGGTGACCCCTGATGTAGATGGACACAATCACCTATCTTTGTCCTATATGTTAACCTGTCTATTTTTAAATTTGCATCATTAATTTCTACATGTTTACCATCACATGAAACAACTTTCATAGCCCAGGCAGTGAGTGGAACACTTAATAGAAAGTCTTCTATTAATTATTTAAAAATATTATTCAGCAAATTCTGCTAAATATTTGTCTGACAAAGAATCCAAAAAAGAAAATTTCATCTACAAGGATTACTAAAGATGTTGAATAATGCAAGAACAATTTGGAGAAAGCTGAAACATTCTGTATGAGATTCTACTTGCATGCTTCAGATCTCACTTTCACAAGAATAAAATAGAGAATCTTACATTTTGACATTTTATTTTTGTAGATAACAATTGGATTTGTTCAAATTTACATATATATATATAATATGCGTCGTTTATGTAAAGCTGGGACCCTTAACTGTAGAGAAGAAACAGACACAATAAGAAAGAAAAAAAATATATATTTTGCCTCTGCATAATCCTCTACTAGTGATATACTTGGCCCATGTGTTTCACCAAAGCTTTGATATCAGCATCGTAGAAGTCTTTGTCCATATGTCAGAGCCACAGTTGAACATCTGCTTGCATGTCTTCATTGCTGGAGAAATGCTGCCCACCCAAGACTTTCAGTGCCCCAAAGAGGTGAAAGTCATTAAGGGTGAAATCAGGACTGTATGGTGGGTACAGCAGTGTCTGCCAGCCCAGTTCCAGTAACCTTGGTGGGTGATGGCCAAATGCACAATAAGAATCTTTTATTATCCATGCAGATACCTTTTGTTCTCAGACTTGGTTGTTTCTTTTGCATGCCTTGTGCACAGCTTTGAGAACTTGGCACAAGTACACACTGTTTATTGTGGTACTGTATAGTAAGCAATTCACATGAATTATACTGTGGCCATCATCTTTCCAGAAGATGGAATATGTCAGAAAATTTTTCAGGTTCAGTCAGTGAATTATCCAAGATCAGATGTTTGACGCACTAGATATTCACAGGGATGATTGAAGTTACCATGGAACCCTCTAATCAGTGTCATTGCTCATAAATATGCATCTAACTTGAAAATACTTGCACCATTCAAAGATCTTACTGCTGCTCAGTATCTCATCACCATATTTTAACAAGAAATTTTGTCACAATATACTATTCCACACAAATGCCAATGCTGCTGTCTGCCTTCTTTTATACATGTGTTTTACAATCAGCTGATATATATGCCATATGTGAGCAACAGAGGAAACTTTAGTGTTATTACCACTACATTCTCAGCAATGTCGTATTCTTTTTATCTCCGGACCAAGAAGTCCCAATCTGATGTGAACTACCTACATATAATACTGTTTAATACAACAAAAAAAATTTTTTTTATATATGTGTAATGTATTGATATTTATATTAAATGATGTAGTTAATTAATTTATTTGATTTTCAAATTTTTACTATATTTGTCTTTGCTTTTTTTTTAATCCAATATTATTTGTCTATTATGTACAGTACTTCTGAATTTGTAATTATATATCATGTCTATCAAGATTTCAGGAATAGGCCAAATTTTATATTTTTCCTATATTTTCAATTAGGTATCTACTGGAATACATCTGAATGACAGGAACCAAAAACATGGGCAGGTATGTATAATTTTTTTTACTACAATAACTGTAAAAATAGTAGTAATTAAGGATACAATGCATACTTTGTTATTTTTTTGAGATTGCTTATTTATATATATAATATGCATATATACTAGATAGGTCTCTGTCAAGCATGACAGGTATATATAATTAATGGTCTGGCCTTTTTCCAGTCAGGTTGGTTGGATTCCCTTTGTTAATGTTGTTATAACATGGGAAAAAGAATGAAATATATTTATCCCACTCTCTTCCTCTGGTTAATATATTATTTCCCATCAAATGCTATTCACTTGTCATACTAACCCAACCAGGACGATATGGCAGACAATGATGGTGGACTCAAATGGCACACTTTTGTCACTTGAGTTCCAGACATAGAAGCTTACCAAAAATTCTTTAGCCTTGAAATAGATTTTCTTACTGTCTTTTATGAGTAATAAAGACTTTAGTATTAGTTTGATTTCTTGAATGAGATAAGGCTTATTTTAAATAAAAAATGTCAATGCTAAATGATATGAAGTAGTGTCATCTGGTCAACAATCTGTGGATATTATAATAAAATTAATAACATTAATAAATAATATATGAATATTTCTATTAATATTAATAATGATGATAACATAAAAGATGATGATGATAAATACTAGTCTGCTATGGGGTACCATCATCTGTTGAGAAAGAAATACAATAAGTGAAGCCGCAAACAATCGTGGTTATTTCAAAATTGTTCTAAGAATAAAAAACATCAAATTTTTTTAAAGCAAAAACAGTGATTATCCTGTAGAATAGAACTGCAAAACTGCAGAAATTGGATCATATGACTTAAAATTTAGCATGTTCACAGGCATTAAAATTTGTTTCCAAATGAGAGGGAGATTCCCCTTGCCTTTCCTAGAAGAGAGAAACAGGATTTTGGAGGAGCTTATAAAATGTATGCCCAGTTTCATTTTCAATATTGTGGTTTATTTCAGTTGCATAAAGTTTGTTTATTTGATGGGGCTTTTATTTGATTGTTCAGATGCAAGGGAGAAGGTGAATCCATTTAGAAATAGGGTAATCATCTGTCTCCTGGGATGAGTTTGGTTATGATTAGGTTAGAAAATTTAATTTTTAAAATGGAATTCTTTTTTCATAGATATTTAATATAATTTATTTGTTTTTATTAAAATTTATGAATTGTTCCTATAAAAATGTAAATCTGAATTATCCAAAGATAACCTACATTTTTAATTTATTTTTTTCCTAATGGTTTTTAGAAGATTTAAATTTTGGCTTATATTTATTCAAATACTATGACACACACACCTTATACTGCTGAAAGCCAATTTTATATACCTTGCTTTAAACAAACATTTTAACTTGATCAACAGGCCATTGTCAGATTTTTAAATTCTCTGGAATGTTTACAAACGTTCTATACTCTTACAAATATGCAATATCAAATTCAAATTGAAAGTGGTTCGAAATACCAAAATATACAAAAATATAACTAATCCTATAAATACATAAAACTGAATGAATCAAAATAAATAGAATAGAACAAAATAAAATAAAAAAATAAATATAATAACAACATATAGAATTACGTCGACTGCGTGCTATGTATCAGATTTTAACAAGCCATTCCTGATCATATACTTCCAGATTGATGGTAACACTCTGGCATCCTTGTAATTTAAACATTTGCCAGTAAGGCTAGATTTATATATTTCAAACTTTTCTAAACTTGATGCCAGAGTCTGTGAACACACGTGTAACAATCCTGGCCTCAGCCCATACAATCATTAAACCATCCTTTTGTGCCACTCTGGATAGAGCTGTAGAATAATGCCCCTTGTTTACATCAATGATTCCGAAAGTGGTCTATATTGACTAGGGTTTCTCAAATGAGATCCCAGGATCCCAGCTGTTTTTTCTCATCCCAGGAAATCCCGCAAATTTCTTCAAAATTCACTTTTTTCTTATTTTGTGTTAAGTTTGAGGAAATTTTGCAAATAGAAAGTATAATTAACACATAAACTGTCAGAATACATTTGTATTTGTTAATTTTAAACCTACTTATTAGTTTTTTTAATTTTTATGGCATTAATTTATTTAATTTTATTTATTTTATTTTATTTTTAATTTGTGACATTATGGCATGTCATAAATGGTCAATAATCAGTACATAGCTTATTTGTGGCAGGACTCTGAAAATTCTTTACTTGTCGGAACCTGTAATATCTGGAACAATTGTGCTTATGCTGTCTTAATTTTTAACCATGCCCATGATTAAAAATAGAATTTTCAGAGTAGATTCGATAACTATGTAACGCCAGGTTGTGCAAATTGAGCAAGGATACAAACGAGTATGAAGTCTGCAAGTATGAAGTTTTTCTTCATAAACCTGATTATTAAAGCCAAAGTAACTGCCAAATTATTGGGCTATAAGATTGATACCACTATTAAAGCAGCAAAGGTAGACAAATCAAGAATATTTGAGAGCAAAAGAAGTGATGCAACGCATCTCGAAAATTAACTAGAAGTCTTCCAGGTTACAAGTGAATAAACACATCTGTCTTCTCTTAAATGCATTAAAGATGATTTCATCCCCATCCATTGAATTGGAAAGGGCACTTTCAGTAGCAGGATTTTTCATAATTAAAATAATAACCAGATTGAGTGATCGGAGTATTGACTATCTTTGCTTTTTAAAATCTTATTATAAAAATTTACAGTAATATTTTGTATTATGTTTTATTTAAAAAACGAAAATTACCTTCTAAGTTAGAAGTTTGATCTAAGTTTATTTTTTTTAAATTTTCAACTCAATTCAAAGTACAGTATTTTGTTGTTGTTGTTGTATGCAGTTTCCAGCAAACTTTAATGTTTTCTACTTGTGAAAATTTCTACGTAATTCAAAGGTAATTTTTAATATATCTTATATAGCATTATTAATATGATTTTGGGGGTTGCAGAACGTATTAAATTACTTTAAAAAATGAAAAATAATTATATCATTTGATTTCATGCTATTTTGTATATCTTAAAAATAATTAATTCTATCCTGGGAAACAGTTCACTTTTATCTCGGAATCCTGGGACAAGCAAAAGGCCAGGAAATGAGAAACTCTAATATCAACCCCTAGGGGTTGACTCCAAACTGCAAGGGGTCCATGTCAGCAAAAACAAAAATTGGGGGTGCATGAGATGTAAATGGGAGTCCACAAGAATGGATTCCATTTAAGCAGATGATGACCAAAATTTTGGCTTTCCATAAATGGAATAATTCACATAACACAAATAGTACCTATGTACAGTGTGCCTTACGTCTATTCTTGCCCCCCTTTGCCACATGGTGGGTCCGACTGAGTGGAGAGGAGTTATGTAATTCTGGGGTGTGTAACTGCGGGTGGGAGTTTTATGGTAGGGTGTGTCTCGGGGGAGAAGTGCGGAACTGAAGTGGAGAGAGAACGGGGAAGTAGGAAAGTAAGAGTGGAGGTGAAAGTGCGTGTAAAAAGTAAAAAGTCTGTGCAAGCAAGTACATGTGAGATTTCAGAATTTGGAACTGTTTTCTACCCAGAGTGAAGGAGAGGAAAAGATATGACAAAACCCCATTTCTGTCAGTATGTTTCTATGTCTTCATGTTATGGGTGCTTGAGCAGTTTATTGTCGGGAGATTTTTGTTAACGATACACGATATACTAATTTGTCGGACTCAGTATTTTCCTTGTCTCATCTTTGTTTTAGGAGTACTGTATGCTCCCAAGTATATTAAAGGAATATTTTGTAGAATTTGATAGTTGTCTTTGTCTAGTCCCTATTGAGTCCAGTGGATTCCCCCTGATAAGCTTCTGCTCCATCAAGCACGCTTGTTATAAATTCTCCCCTCATAGAAGCACTTACGTTTTATCATGTTGATTCATTCTCACGATATTTTTACCCTCACATACAGTACTTGCATAATAGTTTCTTATAATAGAGATATAAATTACCTATGAAGTAAATGTTTATGAAACATGATGAAGATTTGGAGCTAGATTTGGGAACTTTGACTCCATGCTTTAATCATGGGAAAATTCAAGATCAATGATGGGATCATTCTCTGTCAACGGATTAAACCAACAACTTAATTGCTTTGAATTTTAATTAATGCTGATTGTTAGAATATTTTCTTGAGTCCAATCAACCTATTTTGTTTTACTTATAAAATTATTGTTATACTGTTCTTTTGTTATTGAAATTTAAGTTATTTTCTTGTATCTCAAACTGTTTAAGAATTATTATAAATTTTATAGTGAACAATTATTTTATTTACTACACTCAATTACATATTAATTAAGTATATTTCATAAAATTGTGCAAGTAGGCAATTCGCTTTGTGGTCGCAACACTTGTAACTTGTAAAAATTTGCACATTTCATACTAGTATCAATATGTTGCATGCATACATGAAGTAGCAACACTTGTCCAGACTTATACCAGAGCTTTGCAAGGACAGTGCTGACTTGTATGGACTTGTTTAATTTGTCAATTATAAATACCAATGTCAGAGACAAACAATATTCATTTGATTTTGGAATTTTGAAAAGAAAAATGCTAAGCAAATATTTTTAAAAATATAAATAGATAGCTAGGAACATACAAGTTAAAGTGAATTAATGTCATCTTGTTTGGGAGTGCCGGAGAAAAGTAAATTATTTTTTATACATTTTTTTTTTTTTTTTTTTGTAGTTCCTCCAATTGCATAAATATGCCGATCATAACTTGAGGTAATAGTAGTTCAATATTCAAGTCAACCACAATTACATGAGTATTCCTTAATAGTTTTTTCCCAAAGTTTTAGCAATTGGTATTATATGTTTCTCTATCTTTAAAAATAAGATTCTATGGTACATGATTCCTTTTTATATACATACAAAAGATATCTAAAGATTAAATTAAGATAAGGTTTTATATGAGGAATCAATAAGGAAGTTTTATATGTCTTATCATATTTAAATAGCTGAATTTTTGTCTACAGATAACTGATACTAAACATGGCCGAATCTAAAAAGAAATGTAGACAGTACAGTGATGATTCTTTGAAATTTGGTTTCATTCCATCATTGTCGGACAAACAATTGCCTATGTGCCTTTTATGCAACAAAGTTTTGAGCAATGATGCTATGAAACCATCCAAGCTAGAGAATCATCTGAGAAGGTATCACCCTGAAAAAAAGGCAAAGATTTGAAATGCTTTCAAATACTTAAAGAAAAACTTCACAAGAGACCCATGATGGATAGTATTTTCACTTTGACATCACAAACAAACAATGATGGTTTGCAAGCATCTTACAATATCTTGCTACTTATAGCAAAATCTAGAAAACTACATGTTATTGGGGAACAATTAATTTTCCAGCCTATGAAGAGGTTTTAAGAACTGTTCTACACTAACCTGCATATGATATAATGAAAAAATTCCTTTGAGCAACAACACAGTTCAAAGACATATTGATGAAATGAGTAATGATATTGAAAGCTTCTTGTTTAATTATCTGCAAACGACCCATTTCTCTATACCAGTGTTTTTCAACCTTCTTGAATACGTCGCCCCTTTACAAGTTAAAAAATTCTGGCGACCCCCCAGGCCATATTAAAATTATATCAGTGATTTTAAAAACTACATATTTAATTTTCTTTCTTTAAATATCGATCGAAAAACCAATTGTACTGTAAAATAAACAGGCACAGCCTTCTCACTGAAATTCTAGATTTTTTTTATTGTAGTGTAGGACCTACAAACACTGCGACCCCTCCCTGTGTAAGGCTTTGCGACCCCCCTGGGGGTCGCAACCCACAGGTTGAAAAACATTGCTCTACACAACTGGTCAAGTTGACTTTACCTGGTAATGAAGCATTATTATTGGCATATGTTTGTTTTGTTATGGACCAAGAAATCCATGAAGAATTGCTCTTTGCAAGAACTTTGAAAACAGACACTAAAGGTGAATCAATATGTATTGTTTTGAGAGATTTTTTCATGGAAAAAGCAATTCCTTTATCAAATATAATATCAGCGGCAGCAGATGGAGCACCAGCCATGTTTGGGCGCTATCATAGATTTATAAGCCATTTAAAACAAAATGTACCTGGTGTTTGCAATACACTGTGTCATCCATCGACAACATTTAGTTGCTAAAAATCTGAGTGGTAGATTGCATCAATCTCTTCAATTTGTCATTAATGCAGTAAATAAAATTTGATGTAATGCATTGAATACTAGGTTATTTGCACAGCTGTGTGAAGAAAATGATGAGAACTTTCATTGATTGCTCCTTCACACTGAAGTATGCTGGCTGTCAAAAGGCTTATGTTTGAGATCTTTTTCACTTTTTCAGACAGTTTTTGAGTTTTTGGATAATAAAGATCCAATTTTAAAAGAAAATTTAATTAAGTGGAAACCAGACATTGCTTATTTAACAGATTTGTTCACTAAATATAATGAGGTTAACTTGCAGTTACAAGGTAACAGTCTAAATTTGATAAAAACAATTTCAAATTTATATTGGTATTTCATCCACGCGCTTCCTATGATTTAATAAGTTGTTCGAAAGCTCAGAATTTTAAAACCGTTGTATTCAATATTCACCTGATGATGGTAGCTTTATGGTATCAAAAGTGCTTGTAAACTCATTTATACTCTAAAAGTCACCATTGGTAATGCCACAACATGCAAGTGTAATTATGTTATACAGTTAAATGTTGGTGTGAAGTGTACTGTACATTACTTTTACAATCACTGATTATTATTGTTCTATTCCTTCTAGAGCAGTAACTAAGGCATCAGCCTATTAGTCTTGGATCTGGAATTGAATCTTGATGAGCAACTCTTTAAGAGATTTTCATGGGCAATCTGCTGATAGGGATGGGTCCAGATATGTTGGTTCCTGTAAGCTGGCTATTCCCACTGAAGCTGGCTGAATCCATGATGGGTATAGAAAAAAGACTTTTTTTAGTACCCACAGGGTAAAAGAGCACCCCAAAAAAGAAAAATGCTATTAAGTGTTGAAATTTACTTTTCTTTAAAAATCCTTGAAATTTAAGAGCTTTTGTAGATAAGTTTATATTAACTGTTATAATCACTTAACCATCAAAATTTAACAGATTTATTTTAAGAAAATTTAAATTCAAATGTGATTGCCATAGAAATGCATGCTCCATCAATAAAAAGTGATTTGCAGAGATCCAGCAATATAGAGATGAAGGATATTATGTGAGAGTAGCCGGGGGTACTCTAATCCGCGGAGGATTGTTCATACCACTTAATCGGCACAGATTATCCGAAATCTGTCTCCAAAGTTTCGGATTGAGAGATCCAATCTTAAAAGTTCTATAGGAGAGCGATAACCGCTAGTGGATCTGAACTGTGAAGTCCAGGGATGCTTGCTTGCAGGGATGTGTGATGCTTGTCAGGGCTGACACCAGTTTGTCAATTTATCGATCCGCGGACAAACACGCATATGAGATCTGATTCAGACACAAATTAAGAGTCATTTCGTTTGATAAACAAACAACAATAAATTTAATAAAACCAAAGAAAATAAAAACTAATACAAAATACTAATGAACGAGAGATTTAACTACTACAAATAAGATACAAATCGAGAGATATATAGACTTTATATTATACCCGATGCGTGATCGAGAGAGAGAGCTCACAAAATCGTTAGAAACATACAACCTGTTTTAGTTGTCGTTTGTTTTCTTCTCTGTAGGCAAGGGACACTTTGGAGAAAAAAGTTCATTTACTTATTGTCATGGGAGATTGATATGTGCACAAAGTCAAAGTATAAACTTCTAAGTGTTAACTCGGGAATTCTTCTATGTGACTCGTCTAAGGGCGTTGGTCATCAGGAGGAAAATGTGTGGAGTTTGGACACTTTCAGATCTGTCGCTGAACTCCTCGAATTCTGACAAATTTCCTCTATATGTCATGATCGGTGACCAATCATCATGCAAAGATTCCTCCGTGAGAACGGATGGAAAGGGGGATATGTGAGGGGTAAACATTTCCCATCAAAGCGAAAGTTTTCGCAGATAAGGGAAAAACAGAGGATGTTCTAACTTCTGTGAAAGGAAGTAACATCTGTTATCTATTTTTCCCACTCTAAAACGTCATTTTTCTCACCCGAACGACAGAATATTTTATAACAAAATATTAACATTATTAATAAAATTACTGATTTAGTCCCAGGAGCCTTTCAGGTCTCACAATTACATCATTAGATATATTTAACATTAGAATCAAATTTTTAAATTAACAAATAAGTAAATTTAAGAGCTCAATTCAGTGGTTAATATTTGAAATTTAAAAATATACATTGATATAAGTTTTAGTAAATTAGAATAAATAAAACTAATATAGTATTACTAATGTCAAAATTTTTTCATAGATCAAGACTTTGCATTATTATAGACTTTTTAGTTTTAACTTTTATGAAAAATAAAGGTTTATAATTAATAAAGAAATATTAGAAAATATGGCTCTATTTATTTATAATTATAATTTAAATTTTAGATGTCAGCACCAGTATCAAGTGGTTCTTCAATTGTCCCCCCATCTAATTTTGGGCAAACAGGTTCATTTGGTCCAGTTGGTGCTTTACCTTCTTATCAAGCTTATCCTCAATCAACTATGCCACAACCATTTCCAACTTGTGCTTCTCAGCATTCAGGTGAGTTAATTTATTTATAATATTAGATACAATTAATTATAATATAATTTGTATCCTATAGTTTGAATGATAAATTTTTATCCTATTGAAGATTTATTCTAATATTGGAACAAATGGTTTCTATCATTTTAAACAGTCATCTTTAGATTAGTTCTATAATCGAATGAAATGTGATGAATGTTTAATTTACTCTTTACTATGATACCATATGATTCTTAATTTGCTGTTTATAAAGATAATTGCAGCCAAATCTGCAATTTGAAAAAAATTGTAGATTATAAATTCCCACTGTCTTTTTTTCTCACTCTCAAGAACAGTGTTAGATAAATGAAATTCAAGAACAGATATGGAAAGCTTAGGGACAGGAGGTCCTGATTAACAATATTAGGTGTTACGATAGTGACTTCCTGTTAAGTAAAAAAAGTTACTGACTGACTACATATACAGGAACTAGAGTTGCTGATTTTGGGGGGTTGATTTCTTTGCCCCCTAAACACCTGAAGTAATTCCAAATATCTTGTTCAAAAGAAAATTTTCCTAGGTAATATGCAAATTTTTAAGATTTTCTATAAAGTGGTCACCAAAATATAAGCAATTGAAAAGTGCAAAAATCACCAAAAAAGCTGTATTTCTTCTTCATTTGGCACTGCAGATGCTCATAGAGAAAAAATACTGAGTCTAGAAAGCTCAAATTCTAAACTTAAGCATTTCTCATTATCAGTAAGGGTGCTTGCAAAATTTTTGGGTTGATAGGTCAAAGTTTATGGGGGTTTCCCCATAGAGCTAATTTGGTTTTACAGTTTAATTTTATGCTTATAAAGATAAACTTTCATGGAAACAAATGAATTTTATTCAAAATGTTACTCAGAATAACAAAAGCTCAAACTTATGCAAATTAAAACTTATAAGGATTTTTAAGAAACAGCATATCAAAAGTATCAGTCGGCAATGCATTCCGTCATTGGTCACAGAGTGCTAACTGATTGTATGTCTTGATGTAATAATACAATTATTAAACAGAAACAATTGATATCCAAACTAAAACATTTGATATGTAAAAACTTCACAAAATAAAAATTTATGGCAATTTAGATGATGGTCAAAATTTTTCTTAGCAGTTTTTTGTTTGGTAAAGATATGCTTGGCACTTGAAAGAGGTGCTCACAAGATTTTTACCTGTATTTGCCTTACATTTTGCCTTTAATCACCAAGTTTATCTTTTTTTACCAAAGAAAAACCACAAAGAAAAATTTTGACTATCATCTAAATTGTCATAAATTTCTAATTGATGAAATTGTTTTACTTCTCAAATGTTTTGTTTGGATATGAAATTCTAATGAAAACCAGAAGTCATGTTATTTCACTTCAAAAATTTTTCCATGAAAGGAGCTATATAGATGACCAGCATAACTCCATTGCTAGTGGAAAAGTATGATGTACAGGGGCAAGACACTACTAATTTTTAATGAAAACATATATTTTAAATTAAATTAATTAAAAATGTGGCCTGTGACAATGTCACAATAAATAATTGCTTGCTGCTATTATCTTTAAATTGAAAAATTCATAGTATTTTATTGTAAAAACAGAAATTCATACTGATACTACCTCTCTTTAAGAAACTTAAGTTGTATGTATACATAACATTCCGTAACTGTATTTTCTTGATTCTAAGATGTACCATGAGTTTAAGATACTTTTTACAGGAAAATATTTTTAAATAGTTAATTTTATTAAGTTTTACTAAGAAATGTGCTTGAAAAATAACACAAATATCATGAAATAGGTGGTGTATGGCAGGTCTGGTTTCATGCTTTTCTGCATACACAATGTTAATGCAATTTCAATTTTAATGTTGCATCATAATGTTGTCTTATAGTTACTTTAAACATTAAAAGAAAGTTTGAATTAAATACTTATTACCAGCAAAGCTTGTTAAACTGATATGAATATTGAACAATATATCTGAAAATGTGTATTATTGGAGCATAACATGTCCATAACCTACTCAATGAATACTAATTGCTACTTCAGGAAAAAAAAATGAGTTTAAAAAAAATTCATCTTATGAGAGAGTGTCATGGAGTGATTTTCAGGGATTTTAATATTACTGTTTACATGCATTTCATTAATTCTTGGTATGAACTTCTATTGAACAAAGGGAGAAAGCATGTTTCTCAAACCTTTTAAGAAAATCAAACTTTAAGTTTTGCAGAAGCTTTCATTTAAGAAAGGTTCTGTAAAATCAGAATAATAAAATCATAAATTATAAATAATTAACTATTAATTAAAAAACTAACTAAATTTTTAACAGACAGCAATTCTGAAAATGAATTTTTAAGGACAAGAAAATGCACATTTTCAGTAGAAAACAAATAGACAAAATGTATAAATTTATGTAATTACAATTATTTTATATAAAATTGCAATAACTTGGAAAATTAAAAAAAATATAATAGTTTCTTCATCAAGATGCAAACCAGTGATCTCACAAATATGAGTGAGGCATTCTACTATTGAGCCGCATGGTCTTTGATGAAAGGTTCTACAAAATCTAGTAAAGTGCTTGGGATTTTTTAACTTCAATTTTCTTGAAAACATTTAGGAAGGACATGTTTTTCTTTGCAAAATAAAGGTTCATGCCAAAGCCACACAAGTATTGAAATTACAAGGACCAAATCATAACTTCTCATTGTTAAAATTTTAAAAATATTGTTTCACTCTTATACAATTTAATTTTATATAAGTGCAGTATTAGAAGTAATTTTATATTGCATGATTTTGTTAAATCATATTCAGAGCAAATTTGAATATTTTAATTGAATGCATTCATATAGAAACTGTTGTTTATTATTTCTTTCAAATCTAATTTGATGGTAGTGTGAGAACAGGGTTGGTTCTGGTGTATCTTCCTTCTTGCCGAGGATGGCCATTTAACAGTTAATGAATATGTAAATACTCTATCTTTCTCTGACTGTATTGTCAGGACTCCTGACATTACTTAGTCAAAGTTTGAGGATTAAGATGCAATTAATTTATCTTCTGAGGGGTTAAAGATATATATATATATATACATACTGAACCGGAAATTTGGGAGGGTCTGTATTCAAACATTTCTTGGTAATGTGGGCCAATAATGGAGTTAGGTTCAATGGAATCAATCTAAACAACAGTTTAGAATATAACTATATACTTATTATATGAAATTATAACTAAAAGCAAATACATATAAGTGACAACTATGCTAAACATAAATGCTAAGTTTGACAATCCAAATATACAAGGATATCTAATCCTAAATCTCTAATTCTATCCTGAGAGAGAGAGTTTACATAAAAATTAGTCATATTACCTTTAGTCTATACATAACTGAGGTGGAGAGTCGAGTAGTTCTTGGGAACAACAGGAGGTTGAGAACTAGAGAAAAGATGGCTAAAATCTCAGGCACTCAGCAAAGGCTCCAAAATGAGATCATTGGCTAAACATTTGATGTTCAGTTAAAATATCAGATGAGATAAAGTAAAAACATGACCTTTTACCTTTTATAATAACCTTTCATCCAATAATATTATTGGAAATATCAAGCTGTGCTTCTGACATGAAGAGGAAGTTGGGCAGTCTTGTAGATAGTCAAGTGAGATACTGCACTTGAACTATCAGTTTAGGAGGAACTAAATCATCGCTCTCTCTGAGACAGAGGAAGTGCTTCCTTTTTCAAAGACAGACAATTTCTCTATCAAGTTAAATTTTAAATTACTTTCAAAATATTATTTTAATATTTTCATTAAAATATCTCCCCTCACTCCATATTCTCATACTAATCAACACTGGATTCAATGTTCAAATCTTTCCACCTATAATCATATTCAGTGCTGTTTAAAGCATATGAAATGCAGCATTTCTTGAGTGCTGCAGAACTTTTTCTGAGATTTTCATCCAAGTACTTATGATATTGTAATGGACTAACAAGATTGAGCTATGTTGACTATTAAAATATTTTCTATTACAATATTGGTTTAATAAAATCATTAAAATGAAGTAATGGAAGTAGTGACAGAGGAATAAGATGATTAGCACTAAAGATTGCTAATTATGGCTTATTACATTGCATCTATGGGTAAATTTGTAAAGTCAAACAAGTTAATCCATAATATTTTTCTTAGATTGCTTCAGGTAGACAGTTATTTGTATCATTTCACCTTTTAATCCAGAATTTAAACACACTAGTAGATTTAGAAACATTGATAATGCCAGGTTCCATTTTCTTAAAGTAAACTAATTCTTTCCTTTGTGAATTTTATTAGAGTTTCATTTGAAATATCACAAACATCAGGCATGCACACTGAATGGAATCTGTACTTTATGACCAACTCATTAGTAATGTGTTTAATTCATTTCACTTTATGAACATACCCTATGACACACCCTATTTTCAGAGTTACTAAAGTCTAAAACTGGGTCTTACTTTCAAGTGAATATGGTAAATAATTTCAATTATTATTACTATATTAACAATGATTAAATAAGATTGAGAAAATTAGTTTGTTTATTTAAAAGTTCATACTATGGTCAGATATGCTACATTTCATTTGCTGCCAAATTTTACAGTAGAGCCTCGATTATCCGACTCCCGATTAACCGACACCTTGGTTAACTGACCATCCTAGTCGGCAAATTTCAAATGTCCGCTAGTGATGTGGCGCTACAATATTTGGCTATGTCTTGGCTACTTTAATATTATTTTTACGTGTTTTAGCTGGCAACACTCATTCGACCATGAAAGGGAGCCATTATTTTCTAATTTTTAACGATACAATAGCGACGATTATTATTTTAAAAAATTTTTGTTAGGCTTAACATCGATGAAAATTCAACGCGAAGTAGGTTAATAGCGATATACTAATATACTAATTACATGGGATATAATAATATACTACACTAATAATGGATTTTTTCATACTTTTCGGTTAGCCGACCAACCCCAGTCCCCAATTGAGTCGGATAATCGAGGCTCTACTGTATAAATATTTTTATTACTGTTGATGTAAAAATAAAATTTTTGTGTGATATGTAATTTAAATCATTTTGTATATTCCAAGAAATAATATAATACAGATTAAAAGTTTCAAATTGATTAAAATAAAAAATCTGTTCTTAAGGTTCAAGATCTGGTACTCCAACTCCCACTCCACAACAACAGAAAAGTCCCACTATCAATGCTACTGTCCAAGTATCAAGTTCAGGGAGTATTAGAGAAGAAGTAAAAGATGGTAAATCACAGATACAGCAGTTGTCACAACGTCAAACAAACAAAAATACTGGGCATCTATCCTCTTCGGGTCAAACCCAAAAGCGTTCATCCAACAATGGACAGAGATCACAGCAGCGAGGCCGTAAGTATAGATACTTTTTTATATAGAGGAAAGAAGGGTATTATAGAATAGTTGGGAAATATAAAATACCAAAGTTTCGGCTCTGTTGCTGCTATTACATGGGAAAACCATGAACTACTCAAGAAAGACTCCCACGATGCAGTGCAGTGAGAGTTGACAGCTTGTTCTCATCGTACCACTTGCTACAGAAAAAAGTGTGTTTTGTGATTTTCAAGAGTTTTTGCAGGCATGTTTTCAAACATTTTAACCTACTAGTATACATGTGACTTGAACATTGATGCTAAGCATAATGTAAACTAAAAGAATTGTAGTTTGTTATACTGTAGTCGTTTTTTAGTTGACAATGTTTTGCCCATCAATTTAAAGGTTCATTTTTTAAGATGACATGTCTGGTATTATGGAATACTAGCATAAATGGATAAACTGAAAGAAAAGGACAAAAATAAAAAAACCAGAAGCTTCAAAACAACAAAAGAAACCGAACCTTCAAAGATCACTGTTAAGAAATTAAACTTAGACCGACCTTCTAGACCTAAACCTACTAGAGATGACTCCAGTGTTTGCAACGATGAATCGTTCCATTCTGATGTATCATCCGTAATGGACTTCATGCCATCAACTAAAGAACCAGAAAACAAAGATGCTGAATGTATCTTCTGTAATGGAAAATTCTCCGAAGATGAACAAGGGAAAATTTGGATTCAATGCTTCAACTGTTCTCTGTGGTCTCACCTTGTTTGTACCGGAGCAGAGAAAGAAAATTATATCTGTGAGTTTTGTAAATAGACTCGAAGCAGGAATGACGTGCACATAATCTTAAAAATATGATTTTTATAGTTAAAAATAATTGTTTTATGAAGTCTAATTAGTTTTTCAATGGTTTAAACCACCTATTCCATATTAGTTGACTATTCCATATTACCCTCCATTTTTGACTATTTTTAAATAATTTTTTTTATAACAAAATAAATAGTAATTTTTTTACAAGTGACAGTTCATTACAATTAGTTATAGTTTGTACTCATGATGATTTTGGGATTTTTATTCAAAAACCAGTAAAGTTATTTTTAGAAATGTAAATGGTATTCCATAATACCCTCCTCTCCTCTATATATTTAATTGTGTCGATAATCTTTATTTGGTCTTTGAAATAGTAAATTTTCTTATAATGCAAAATTTTTATTTAATTTGTTTAGTTATGTTATTTTAGTTTTTAGGAAAATATACACCCACAACTGCCGTAAATGATCAGATATAACTGTAATAATCACCTTATATCTTAAACTTATATATACTGGAAGAAACGATCAGACTGAAGATCCAGGTAGCATAACTGGCAACACGTCCGCATCGTAAGCGGGAGTTGCAGGTTCGAGTCCCACTTCAGGCTGATTCTTTTCTTCCAGAGTAATCTAAATTAATTAATTAAATATTATAATTATTAATTTTAATACGAGACAGTGCTAACACCTCTCTAGTGCCAAATTAATTTCTAATTTATAATCATTACATCCAAATATCATTTACGGCAGTTGTGGGTGTATGTTTGCTTAATATAGCTAGTTTCAGTTGTGTATATTTGTTTTCAATTTTTAATTGTTTTTAGTAAACTAATGTAATACTACTAAAAATTTGTAAATGAACATTGTGGCTACTTTTGGCAATATGGTTTGGCACGGAAGAATACAGGCAGGCACTGTATGTTATCCTGCAACATATTTATGCACATGTGTAACTGTCACTCTGATTCCCCACACACATAGATGATTAAAGTTGGCATTTTATCTAATCCCACAAATCTTGATGGGAAAAATTCATTTTTTTTTTTAGTTAATTTAGCTGAAAAATGAAGAAAAAGGCATTATAAACCACACACAGCCTTACTGTCCTACCATATACCCCATGTCTGATTTAAAAAAAAATCAACTTTTAACAACAATTAAATGTACAGTACAATCTTATATATTTATTGGGCAAGAACGTTGAAAGTTAACTATATAAAGCCACAAGCTAAATCTTTCATAAATAATTTTTAATCATAATATATCTAAAATGGAATAACTGATACATGTGGAATAGTATTTAAACATATTATTATTATTATTATTATGTTGGGTTTTGTGAGTTATACTCGGTTCACACCGGTGGCTGTGTACTACGCCAGACCAGAGTCAAGGCATAGCAACTAAAACAAAACTAAAATTAAATAAGTGTGTCAGTGTGTGTGTCTGTATTCAGGAATTTCCTAACAATGTGGCATGTATTCAATATAGTGGCCTTCTGTAGTGTGATGTATGTATTTCTACTCAATTGTAATGTTCCCAGGCTTTTGTGTAGTGTGTGTGGTATCACACCTGTACAGGAGAGAACAACAGGTACAATAAGCACCCTATCCATCCTCCACAGATGCCTTATTTCCTGGGCGAGTTCTGTGTACTTGCTAATTTTTTCAGTGCATGTGTTTTGTACATTGTGAGTGTTTGGAATGGCTATGTCTATAATGTATGTGATTTTATTGTGTTTGTCAATGAGTGTGATGTCTGGTCTGTTGTGGTAAATTGTTTTATCTGTGATTATGGCTCTGTCGTAATACATTTTGTGCGTGTTATTTTCCAATACTGTCTGTGGAATATACTTGTAGTATGGTTCGTGGATGTCTGCCAATTTGTGTTTCTTTGCAAGCTCTTGGTGTATTATATTTGCTACTTGATTGTGTCTATGTAAGTAATCTGTCTGTGCCAAGAGCTTGCAACCAGAAGTGATGTGTTGTATAGTTTCTGGCATGATGTGACATTTTCTGCATGTGTCATTTGTGAGTGTTGTATCTTTGAGTATGTGTTTTCTGTAGTTTTTAGTATTTATGACCTGATCCTGTATGGCAATCATGAATCCTTCCGTCTCCCCAAAGAGGCATCCCCGATCTAACCAGCTGTTTGACGCAGTTTTGTCAACAAAATCCTGGGCCAGGTCGTAAGGATGCCTGCCATGGAGAGCCTTTTGAGCCCATGATTGCTTAATGTTGTCTATGCTTTTTATATGTTGTGTCATGTCTGTATGTTGTGAGTGTAAGTTTAATGGTGTGTTATTTGAGTCTGCTAGAGTTACTGCTTTATGTAACTGTGATGTTTCTTGTTTCTTGTAGAAAAACTCTCTCAGTGACTGTATTTGTTTGTAGTGAAGGTTAACTATGTCAATCAGGCCACGTCCGCCATCTTTACGTGGAAGGGTTAATCGTTCTGTGGCGAATTTAGGATGATGATGATTATGCTTAGTAAGTGTTGATCTTGTTTTCCTTTGGAGTTGCTCGAGATCTGTGTGAGTCCAATGTATAACTCCAAAAGAGTATGTGAGTACTGGGATGACATATGTGTTTATTGCTTTAACTGTATGTTTTGTATTTAACTGTGTTCCGAGGATAGCATTTAACCTACTTTGGTATTCTTTAATTAATCTTTGTTTTATTTGTGTATGTTCTGTTAGTTTGGCCTGTTGGATTTCTAAATACTTGTAGAACTCTCCCTCATCCATGGATTCAATAACGTGTCCATTTCCAAGTGCAAAATCTTCTTTCTTCAGGATTCCTTTTTCTATGTGAAGTGTTTTGCATTTGTCTAAGCCAAACTCCATTTGTATGCCCTTAGTGTATGAGTGTGTGATTTGTAGGAGTTGATGATGATGTTTCTGTGTGGATGCATAAAGTTTTATGGCATCCATGTACATGAGATGTGACAGTGTAAACTGTGTTGTTTTTTCATGTCTGATATTATAGCCATAATGCGTGTTGTTTAACATGTCGGATAATGGGTTCAGGGCTAGGCAGAACCAGAGAGGACTCAAGGAATCTCCTTGAAAAATTCCTCACCTAATGAATATCTCATTTGTTTGTATGGAAGTGTTACTAACCCTGAGATGCAGTGTTGTTCTCCAGTGCTGCATAGTGTTTTCGAAGAATGTAATGAGTGATGGATGTATTTTGTACATGTGTAGAATATGTAGCAGCCAACTGTGTGGAACATGTCGAATGCTTTTCTGTAGTCTATATATGCCATGTGTATGTTTCTGTGTTGTTTGTGTGCTTGCCGTAAAATGACTGAATCTATGAGTAACTGTTCTTTGCATCTCCTGTGATTTCTACGGCAACCTTTTTGTTGTTCTGTAAGAATTTGTGTTCTTCAACATGTTTGTATATTTTGTTTGTGATACAGGATGTCAATAATTTGTAGAGTGCTGGGAGACATGTAATTGATCTGTATTGTGTGGGGTCTGTAGTGTTGTTGTTTTTAGGTTTCATGTAGGTGATGCCCCGAGTAAGAAATTTTGGCATGTCTTGTGGATTGATGATGATGTGTCTTAGATTAGATGTTTAGCTAGTTCCTGGTGCAGTGATGTAAACTTTTTGTACCAGAAATTGTGAATGTTGTCTACACCAGGTGTCTTCCAGTTGTGTGTTCTGTTAACAGCATAGTGGATGTCGTGTACGTTTATTTCAGCACAGATGCAGGCATAGTTGGTATGTTGTGCAAGTTTCTGTTCTCTTCGATCCAGCCTGCATCAGCATTTAGCATTGGACCAAAGAGAAGACCAATAAGTTGTGAGTTCTTCTTCTGTTGGTGTGCCACTGTGCTGTGAATCAGTGTTTGTTTTGTTACCAATTTGTCTATAAAAGAGTTTTTCATTGTTTGCAAATAGTTTATTTTGTTGTTTTCATAGTGAATCTGTTTTGTATTGTTTGAGTCTACGTACTTTGGCTGTGAGTTTTTGTTTTAGTGTATCAATGTATTCTGTAATGTGTGAGTTATGATGTTCATGTTTTGTGTGTGTTTTGATTTTCTTGAAAATGTTTTTGAGTTGTTTCTTTAATTTGGGTGTTATGTTGTTTTTAGTGTATTGTGTCAGCCTGCCTAAATGCTGTCTAATGTCATTTATTTGTGTTTCTATTCTTCTCTGCCAGGCAGGCTTGTGATAGAATTGTGTTTTGTGTGTGTTTGTCTGCAATTGTATTTTCAGTCCATGGTGTGTTACTACTGTGACTGCCCCAGCATAAACTAATGTATGAATGTCTGAAAGTGTAGATATTGAATGAATGTAGTTTGGTAGTAGGTGAGTGCTTACATAATTTAGTGTTTTTCCTACTACCTTTGACATGTTGATTTTTGGTATTCGTGGTCTTTGTGTGGGATCTGTACCAGTATATTTAGTGAGTGTTTCCTGAAATATAAGTGAGAGCGTATTAACTAAATCTATGTCTATGTTATCTGTGATAGATGAGGAAGTGCCTGTAGTATCATTAGTTGTACTTGTTGTATGTGTACTATTATCAATGCTTGTGGCTGGATTATCCTGACAGGTTACATGATCTTCATTAATGTTAAATGTTTCTGTCTGTTGATGTATTTGATCAGCAACCTGTTGTTTGATAAGTTCAAGTGTTGTTTGTGGGATAAGGTTGTTGTGTATAATTGTTCTTTTTTGATCAACAACCGTTTGTTCAGTGACAGTGAGATGAGGATATTGTTGTGTGAATCTATGGTATGGTTGTTGTCTGTATGCTGTCATGTTTGTTTCGAGTCTTGTGATGGCGTAGTAAGTACGGATGATAAATTCATTCATTTCTGTTGTCCATTTCATTTGTTGGCATGGTTTTCCAGCCTTTGTGGTCTGTGGATGCATTGCCACAGAAACACCAAGGCTAGGTTGATTCCTCACATCTGTTGAGGGCATTGCAGTAGCCATGCTTGGGCC